CTCCTCTTCATGATCAGTCAACAGGAGCTCCGAGATGGCCAACTCTGTCTCATCAACTTCCACGTTCCCCTCCAGGATGGCATGAGCAGCAGCGAATCCATTGCATCCCTCATCTCTCTCTTGCAACGGGAAAATGGTGGCCAGGACTTGGGGGTGTGCTTTTGCTCATTGTACATGAAGATGGACATAGCCTCTGTGACATCACCTATAGGTTTCTGAAGAGCGGTTGTGAAGCTCAGAGCTCCGCTGTCACTATCTTGACAGGGGCTGACTCCGTCCACTCTGCCTAACTCCAGGCTAATTCAAAAATGGGCAAAGAGGTGGGGCGTGTGTGGAGCCAAGGCTTTGGTGCATGTCGGTTTGTGGCAAGCATACACTCAGCCACCTGTCATTCAAAGTGGCCACGCCCTCAACTGTGCAGAATTTTAAGTCCTAATAAAACAAGTGACTCATATAAAAATTCACCCCCATAAAGCTGTCATGAAGGAGGAAATTAGCTATAGAGTCCAGGCTGTAAACATTTTAACATGAAAGTCTATGGGGATTGACTTGCCTTTGGAGCCAGCCTCATGTGGCCATACAAGGAACTGAAGTTTTTGTGTTGGCTTAATCTTTGCCGCTTGCCTTTGCTCTGCTCGATCAGGGTGTAATGACCAACTTTTCAGGGGTTAGGGATCACACATGTCCACTTAAGTGGGTCCACTCAGCAGTCAGTCTTTCCACAACAGGCTAGCCTTGCGGGCTAGCCAGTGGTAAAGCCGCTTATGTGGGAAAGGAACGCAGAGGATACATTCATCAGAGGTTAAGGCAGCATGAGCATGGGGTACGCCCAGACATGCCACACACTGTCCCAACCAGATATTTTTCATCACAGGGACAAAGCTTTGTACTTTTCTTGTTTTGACTGATGTTGTAAGCCATAGCTATGGTTAGCTAGTGAGCTATAGACACGAGCAGACGTGTGAAATTCGCTAAACAGCTTGTGCAGCTACTACATGAGAATATAGCCTCATTTATGCTCAACATTAGGCTCTGTCCGTTCTGGGTTCATTTTGTCCATAATTGTGCATGTTCAAATGAAATGGATGTATCTATTTTCGTACATAAAGAGAGCATAAATGAGGCTTATGGAGGGAAATGTTGCTATATTCCCCATTAGTATAGAGGTGTTGACAGCTTGTCGCTTCAGTTGTTTCTGAATGACAACTGACGATATGTCAGCATAATATATAGGAGGAGGAGCCCATCCCCTTCTGACATAGGCGTCACTGGTGCCAGCCAATTAGGGCTGGCGTAATGTTATTGGAGCTTCTCATGAGGTCAGGAGGCATTCCCATAGTGAGACACGAAAAACAAATGTTATGAATGAGAATGCCTGTTTACTATCCGTGTGATGTGTAACTTCTTTCTGTGTTCTCATTTTTTCTTTCTATATTTGTTTTGAGGAGGTGGGCGCATTTTTCTTTTCATCAGTTTTTAATAATACTGACATGACTGAAAGAACTAAAGAGACGTCAAAAGACAACAGTCCAGCACCAGAATTGTAAACACAGGGTGTTTCGGTGATATGGAGTTCACCTCAGTGTACCGTGCCACCGCGATTATCTCGACTCTGCTGGTTTCATCCAATTATGTGTATTCTCCGTCTGAGGAGTGATGCATTCTTGGAGGATATGAGAGTTTATTATCGTTCCGTAATGAGGAAGCTGGAGAACTGATGGACCCATTAAAAAGACAGGAGAGAAGAAGTTTCTGCAGAATTTGAAAGCAACAGTTTTTAAATTAAACATGGATGGTGTGGGCACCTTTTGCAGCCTCCACAGAGGCTCTTGTCTGATTAGTCTTGTCATAACCAGGTAGGTGTGAAGAGGAGGAGGAGAAAAAGCATCTTTATGCAAGACTACAATCTCACTGTGCAATCTCTATGAGAGGGCCTAAAGGAGATACAGTATGTGCAGAAGGGTCCCCACCCTGCCTCCTCCCTCCCTCCCTGTCGGTTCCATTCCTCTCACTTCCTTTCATTCCCCATTAATCCATGATGGTGCCAACATTAGCAGATGACTTGTTAACTAAATTTCACATTTTGGCCAAGAGGGACGTGGGTGAAGCAGTGGTGTGTGAATTAATAAGAGGTAGAAAAGATTTAAGAGAATGTGGAATTTGAGTCCTTACCTGATGAAACCTAAGCTAATACGATGGAGGATCACAGTGTGCATGAAAGAGGAAGAGGCTTTTTAACAAGGGTCGACAGAATCTTAAATAATGCTGAATTGATGATCTTAAAAGCAGTGTCAGTTATGCCAAACACATTTTTGATGCATAAAGTGCTCTGTCCAACTCTTAATATAGAGTAATATCCCCTATCCATTAACTGAAACACTTTCAGTATTGATCTGAGGTGATTAAACAAACATCAGATAAACAAACATCTCACCGGGTGCTACATCAACTCTGGTACTAACCAAAACAGCATAAGTGTACTGCTTCGAGATGTTTACTATTTTACTAAACAAACTGAAAAACCACAGAAGGACGTGATGACTGTGCAGACCACTTCACAGACATCACTGTCCTCGCACATTAATTGGATTCATTAACATAAGATCTAACACATGCAATCAGCCAAGTTACAGTTGGAGTGTTTGGGTATCTGTGCTGATCCTCACTAATTCATCCCTGACCTTATTCATAAACATCTTATTGCCTTTCAGCATTTTAATCAAGAAAAAAATTACAGCAGGAGAAAAAGGAGGCAAACGTGGGAGATCCTCAAGCACTCTGCTTAAAATGCATATCAGTGTTTCTTTCTGTATTTCAAGGACCGACCTATTTCATGCTATTAGCCTTTAGCAGTCTCCACGATGGAAGCCCAGTGGTTCATTCTCCCAGATATTTTTCTCCTCTCCATGACGCCGTGTGAGCTTAAGAGCCATGCACATGAAAAGGTAAGTTCTAACACCATGAATAATGCACATTGTTTGGTGGAGAATCTGAAATCAGATTCACATGACGCTCAATGATTCCTGGATAACTACAAGAACGAGCAGAGTAAAATGCAAAGACACCAAATACGATATTCACAAACAAGCCTAATGTTATGGGGGTGGGAAATCCACAATGGATACCATACCCTGACAGGCAAATCTAACTTCTTTTGAAGGCAGCCATATTTGATCATTTTCAGGATTTTGCATTAAAAGCTAATGATATTAATGAAGAAGATACTAAATTATAGAGCAACGGTTAAGCGGAGAGGCCCAGACCAGGGAGATGGTGGCTTTTTGCCAGAACAGGCAGCACTCTTTCATAACAACACACATAAACCTCATTAGAACAGCTCTAAAAGATCCTCTCACTACAAACTCCATTTCAAGCTAATTAAACTGATTTGTGCAACCAAACATGGAACATAAAAAGGACAAAACGTTAGTACACTGGCAGCTGAGCAGGTTGTGTGTCCACCTCTGTTTCCACATAAAGAACTTTAGTAAACTACCTTCAATATCCACCTGATTAACGCACGCACAGTTTGAATGTGAACTTTATCCATATGTTTTCATGTTTTCAAATTCTAGTCAACATCCAACAGTTGCCGACGCCTGAGCCACAAAATGCATGAGAATAAACCTCTCATAGTGGACATAGGGTTAAAAACACTCACGTAACTAACTAAAATCAAGGACGGCACTGTTCCATTTAAGTCGCTGATATATTTGTTTTTCCCTGTGATAAACTCATCATGGCTACCATGCATATTATTTCCTCTGAGCATTGTTCGTATGCACCCTAAGAAATTAACACTAAGCGTCCGCAAGATACAATTACTCACATGAACGGTCGGTGTAGTACATCAGGATGTGAGGTAAGGTCAGCGGCAGACTCTAAACTAATTAAGGTTGTTATCACGGCCATTTTTTCCCACTGTACTCTCATTAACAAGAAAGAAACCTTTTCAAGTGTCGTCATGTTTACATTGAGAGTCCTCAGAGAAGATGTTCTGGATGATTTGACTATAGTGGATGTACTTTTTAATCCTCCAGTTACACACATAGACATATAATGAGCCAAAGGTGTGCCAGTAAGCCATGCCAGTGATTTAGCAAGTAGCATGTAGCAGACACTTCAATTTGTTACGTAACATTCATAATGGCTATGTGTTTTGTTGTGCCCGTGTCAGGATGCAGCTGCTCATTGGAGAGGTTTGCCAGGAAATTTCAGTGGAACAAAGCCATCATTATTGGTTACACCTTTTCAGTCTGCTGTGAGAAAGGTCTAAAAGGACACCAGCAGCGCTGACACCAGCACACCTATATGACAAGCAGCCATTATGAATGTTGTTATACCTGTGTTTGTCCAGTCAAAAGTGAAAAAGCTATATGATACTAAATCTGTGCCCTAAATCCACATAAGAATAAGTTTGTACCATGATGGTATTCTGAAGAGTTGTGTTGGCAGATGTAATAAAAGTAACATTTTATAATAAAAATATTATGCTAAACATGTTACTTTGTGATGCTACTGGCAAAATAAATTTGGAAACAACAAAGAGAAGGAAAAATATTTGTCCAAAGTTTTAATCCTTCATTTTTCATTTTCTGATGATATTTCTGGAGCTGTCTCATCACCGCCCACAATTCCTTTTGATGTTTTTCAGCTCTGAGCGGCTCCTCCATTACATACGTGCACTGCGTTGTGGGACAATAGTGCCCATCAACAGCCCTCTCAAAAATCATTTAATATGCGTACTGACATTTTTGAGTACACTTAATTTTGTCACTTTTTCAATGTGAATGTGCAACATCCTCAAAACCTTGTTAGAATTACTATGCAGAGAGGGATACTGATACACCGTAGGTTATTACAAAAGTGGTCTAGAGATTGGACTCGACTACAATGGTCCTGGAATTATAATAGGCGTATACTTCATATTTAGGACTCGGTGATGTTCAACAGAAGGTGACCTTTGACGGGGTCAAAAGTGCGAGGTTGAGAATATTTACCTGCATGGAGTTGGGGCGACCGTTGAAGGGCTGGGCCTCACTGAAGAACTCTGTGTTGTGGTCCAGACGTCCATGACCTCCGTACAGACGTTCATCTGAATCCAGCTTGATTTTGTATCTGAGGAAGATGGAAGTTAAGGTGCAATAGCAGTGGGAAACTCGATTATAAGATCTAAGACGTAAGAACCACAAGAGAGGGGTTTTTTTTTTTTTTTTTATCTCTGGTGCTTTTGGTGTGCAGACTTGGTTTAGCAGTGCTCAGCTGGTTTATACTCATTGAAATCCTCACATCCATCAGCATTCATCTCCTCCTCGCAGCGCTGCAAAGCAACAGTGCAGAGCTCTGGCAGACAAAGAGAACGCTGCCTGAAATTAACATAAACACAAAAGCGATTCAGCCATGGCTCAACCATCCAGCCTGCCTGTCTAATTTATCTAATTCACTGCATAAATAATGAATCTGATCAAAAAAATGATCCAAATGAGTGACAACAGATACACACAAATGAAGCATCCACTCTTCCTCTAGGACACATCAATGTCAAAGTGAGAGCAAATCACTACAAATTAAGTACAGAATAACACATGAATTACTGCCGGAGTATTCATCCCACACAAGTTAGTATTTAGGTCATTGCATGTGTTTAAGTTTGATATTAACCTAACAAATACTGTATCAACTTCACATATCTGGACACTTAAATTTCAAATACCAATTTATGCTGTATGTGGAATATACTGTATATTGTTAATGCATGTGATGACTTATTACTTTGACATTTAAGAGTCTTTCTCAGTTGATCATTGTCAAAAAAAGACGTCTTGATGAAACCAATGTGATTCAAAGCTGTAAAACAATATGGCATGTCAGGGAGGGGTGTGGGATGGTTCTTCACTGCACTGAGACAGTTACATAGTTAAAAAAAAATACACCTGCCTTTGATCATGCACAGAAAAGATGCACATGATGTATGTATGTGTGTGTGTGTGTGTGTGTGTGTGGATGAGGAGTAAGGGAAAGGCCCTTTACTGTCACTTTTTCTTCCTCCTTTCTCCTCTCCACTGTGCTTCTAAACAAGGATGCTTCCCTTCAAAATATATTCATTCATTTTTTTTTATCTATTTTTTTTTTTTACATAAGAGCTCTGATTACATGATGAATTAATGTCCTTCAGCAGGGGGAAATGGAGAATACTGTCTAATGTGATATCTAAATTATTAGGAAAGAGCTCCCAAAGTCAGTCAGAAGCAACAGTTTTCTGGGGGAGAACGTGCTTGGCATTAGTACGCTGCCCATCTTATTGCTTGAAGAAATAAAAACCCAAAAAGGATGGATGCCGGAATCAGTTACAAGGCTGTTATTAATGTCAGAGGAAATATTTAAGACATTTTAAATGGCAGATTTAAAATGAAAGAAAGTGCACCTTTGACAAGTGTGTACATAATTATTTATTTATTTTTTAATCTGAAAAGTTCTCTCCAGGCAAAGTTTAGCTTTACTCATGCCAGTCAGAGATGCTTGAACATGTGTAATCTGATGTCCATGTATAATGTAAATACTCATAAACATCTGTGCAGTGCATTATTAACTCCTGTCTCTCAGGGACGCGGAGCTGTGAGCAGTGGTACTGTACCAAACACCAGGAGAGAGGAGCAGACATGCAAACAGCCCCCTAATTGGCTGGCTGAATAATCACCTTATCTCCCCATAGGCGATCTTCTGGAGTGCGAGTGTGATCCTCAAACACTGCCTCGTTCTGCCCCAGAGCCGGGAAAATTCCGCTTTTGCTGCCTGCTTGTCTGCTTTGATAGTGATGATTAAAAAGAAGTGCTGCTCTGTGCATTGTTTCTGCTGAGGAGAGAGAGAGCCCCTCCTTCGCACCTCCTCTGCTCTACTCGCCGCCATGCTAGTTTATTAACATAACAAACTCACTTTCCTAGGGAGGTTTTACAATAACTACCAGAAGAATATGCAAATATTCTCTCAAAGCCTGTCATGCTTTTGGGAAACTGAGGATGTATTTGATTCCAAAGGTTAATTCTCCTAATACAAACAAGAAAAACATTTACATTAACCATAATGGAGCATGGAATATGTTTGTGAACTGTAAATATTTTCCAATAATATCATTCAGAATGGATTGAGAGTGTTGGGAATTACTACGGTGCTTCTTCACACTGCTTGCTGTGCATTTGTACTGTATTCGTTCACGCCTGTGGCACAGAGTGCACTGGAAATGATGCATAGTTACAGTAATTCCTGGCAAACTTCTCTGCAAGGAAGCAACAACCAGCACAAATTGGCAGCTGGAAGCTTTGAGTGATTACATCTTTGTTAGTGGCCACAGACGGCTGCAACTATAGCTTGCCGTTGAGCCGTAAAGTATTGTTATCAATACGTCCTTTGTGAATAAAGGGGAAGCCTTACGAACACAATCAATTTCGTCCAATGGGCAGAAGGAAAAGAAGGCAGCTTGATGATTAGAGCCATTGATGACCTGAAAAGAATCTGGCCATGACCATGATTGCAGACCGAGCCACCATGTAGTTTCTCCACCAGCTTGATGTTTTGTTTTTTTTTCTTTTTGGCTTTATGAAAGTAATAGCACCCTGGCGTGGGTGAACAAGAGTTAAGATATGTGTGCACATCTGAAGAATGTGGCCTGGCCTTGTAAGGCATTCTAAATACCACATCTTGCCTTTTCAGAGTCGACTTTTCCCTGCTTTCTGCTCAGTTGGTGCAAGTTACATCAGAGTGTAAGAAACAGCAAGAAACAGTTTCTGCCAAAGAGGAATAAGAGGTGGCAGCAGCCAAGACACATAAACTGATGTAAAGCGGGACCCTTAAAGACTATTCATTTCAAAATAAAGGAATGCCCATCTCTTTGTATAAAAGGCGTGACACCTACTGTACTATTTAACAGCCTTGAGCACAGCTGTTTTATCCTCTGTTGCTTTGTTTGGTTGTAACAAGTCCAGTGAGATCCAGACAGGCTTTTGTCAAACTTTTCATACAAAATGATGAACATTCTTTTATTTTGAAATTCTCATTACATATGAAATAAAGCTATACATTTGCACAAAAAGTTGGGTGGGTGTAACTGCTTTGTATTGTTAAACTTGCTGTCAGTGTGATGAGTCTTATTGTCAGAATTCTCCTTCTTATCTGTCACTGTAGCTTTTTATTGATAGTATTTAAATAGTCAGCCAAACTTCAAAACTTTAAAAGTGAAAACAATTGAAAAAGGACAAATTATTACCAAAACTGTGCACTGAAAACCTCCATCACAGTTTACTGACTGACTTACAGTCTTCCTCTGCATTGAGGGAATCATCATCAACAAATTGGTAAATTATCTTTTTTAGTTTTGGGAGGATTTCATTGATGGAGGGAGGGTGGTGCCCATGATTTTGGATGGCTGACTCAGAATCCAGCAGTGTCTATTGTGGGTTTCACTTTCAAACATTGCTGTTTAGAAACGCAGCCTGATTTGTTGTCTTAATTTAAATGTATTGAGCTGCCTGAGAAAAAAAAAAAAGAAAAGTCTTTGCTGGGCGCTTTTGACAACATGGTCTGTGTCTATGTTCCACCTGAGGATATTGCAGAAATGGGTGCTAGGAAATTTCAACTTCTGTATGGCAGTTTTTGGGATGAGGTTTATGCCTCTCAAAGTCAATAATGAGTTTAGGAGTTTTGGGTGTGTTGAGCTGCAGATTAGTATTTGTGCACCAGGTAACTGCCTGATTTACCTGTTCATAGTGGTGTGTTTTATTGTAATTGGAGATGGGAAAAACTGTTGCGGCATACTTACAGGAGTTAAAAGGCTGTTATTATTATTTTACCTACAAATAAAGTGGTAGACACTTTGGCTAAACTGTTGGCTTGTGTACAGCCTGTCTGATTAACTGACTGCTTGTTTTTCTTGCCTCCTCATACTCCTTTGGTAATGTCAGCCTATTCCCAGATCTGAGGAATTTATCGAGTGCAGTGTCATCATAATGAGAGAAACGATGGTAAAAACTACAAAAATAAGAGCAAAGTTATAATGAAACAGAATTTTCCTTTAATGCCTGAAATAAAGTAGCTCATTTGTTTGTCTATAGCGTTTCAACACGACAAAATCTGAAATCACAGATTAAGCGTCTGGATTGATGAGGATGTCTGCGGATGATATCTGGTACATTCACAACCTAATGGGATCTCATGCAGAGAAAAGTAATGCAACTTTGTTTACTCAATCCATCTTGATGTATCTTACAGGAAGTAGATGCATATTTTCCTCATACGATTCATTCTAGATAATACCAAAGTAAATTATTGTCACCTATGTACAGAACTGTGCATGTTATCCTAAATCCTAGTTAGTTAGTGTCACTACACATGTAGTTGAATTATTCCAAATGGCATTGAAGGAACGGAGAATGATGACCTGACACAATCTCAACTGCCTATTGGCACCGGGTAAATCAAAGACCAATCTGCCCTGACAGGTACAGCTTTCATGACGGGATCCAACTGGGATTTCAAATACTCCAACCAGCCAGATAAAGCCCACTGCCTGAAGAATGTGTCCACCACGAGTCAGAGAGAAAATAATAAAAAACAGTGATGGTTTGAGTGCCTGTCGAAAAGCTGACGTTGACTGCATTTTAATGGCCAACATTTTCGGCGAGGTGCTTCACTTCACTTTCTCTCCTGTTCCTCGTGGAGAGGAAAAAAAAAAAAACACACACACACACACACACATTCAAAAGAGGACAATGAGAAGCAATAAAAAGCTTGTCTAAAAATACGAGAAGGCCAAACAGTCACTGAGCATCCAGCTATGGACTGGTGCTGAGGGACGATGACTATATAGTTATTTATTTATTGTAGAGTTAAAACAGCAGACTTTCACGTTTTACCTTAAAACCACAAAAGTTATTTAGCTGTAACACATCTGTAAAGCATCAACTAGGGATATTTTTTTTCAGCATTACATTGACAACTATTTTTTCTTAGAGTTCCTCTGTGTAATTAAGCAGCGTATCGAGACATTATGAGATGCTATGTATATTTTTTTTTGTTTGATAATAAGAGAAACCAACTGGAAATCCATCCAGACTAACATGCAGCCATCCAACATGTGGCACATTATAACCAAAGGTAACTTAATGGTGTTTTTTGCTGGACAGAGACACTCTCTGATATAATACACTACTTGCCATATGGCCAAAGGAAATGACACCCGTATTGGATCCATTTTCAGTGGTACACAGCATGGTCAGCAGCATCCAGCTATTATTTCCTGATACAGCAGTGGTGTGGGGCTCCTCTGTGACATCCCTGACCCTCACACAGGTAGAAGAAAGTTTAAGTATATGACAGCTGAGTGTAATGAAAAAGCACTTTTGGACTCTTTGAGCTTGTCTTGTTTACCTCCTCTGCCTCTGAGTGGCACTTTCATCTGTCTTCCTCCCTAATTGGATCCTCTGCACACATTCCCATCGGAGGATCTGCATCTCCTCATACACACGGCGCATTTACCTTCCTCACACACGGCACATTTGCCTTTATGTGTTTACTGCCTCTCTGTATAATGACAGCCAGAGCTTTGCCCTCACATTTATTTGCATTTCCTCTCAACCCACCCAGTGTCTGAGGCCTCTCCTTAAACATCAAAAGGAGCACCAGGAGGAAAAGATGTGGTTCCATCTAAATGAAAATAAACCCTCAAAAATGGTGTTACAGACACTGTGCAGCAAGGCTATTAGTGCTGTGCCCGAGATTTACCCCATTAAGCCAGAGCTGAAAACACGACGCAGAACGCACAATAATTGCACATCAAACAAGCTCACAATTAACACATGATATTAAGAGATTAGGAGTTACTCCTATTATCTTTTTAATCATCAAATAAACTTGATTATTGTTCTGTCTCACTATTCACATTTAATAACATGTTTAGGGGTTTTTGCCCCTATATTTTTAGATGCTGATTAACACGCGCAATAGAGATTAGACATGTTCTTTGTGTATTGTTTTTTTATCCACTGTAATAATCATGCTACCCAGGCATCAGGGACATTATAACCTAAACATCTATGTAACGATATAATAATTGCCAGATAATGTCATAACCAGTGAGAGAAACTATTTGAAATGTAATAAAACATATTGCTGGTTAATATAATGACATCATCAGGCTGATACTGTATGAAAAGCTTTTTTCATTTAGGATATTTCATTACATTTTGACACAGTTTTATTTTCATTATAATTAGCAAGAAGCATCAATTTATCCCTCTAAAATAAAAAAAAAATGTAGAACTCAAAGGAACAACTGCTGTTTAACAGCCTCATTGTCAGCCAATCGAATCATCATAATTTGAGACTGAATTGCTCATGTGTAGTGGTTTGAACCGCTGGCGTCCAGAGAAAACTAACAAACTCTGTCAGCATTTCGACTCTCCATCACAATATTGAAGTCATAGCTGAAGAAACAACACAGCTTCGTATCCATCCGGGAAACTGCTGGCGTGAGCTACAGTGAGCCCCAGAAGAGAGTGATGTCCGTTATAATAAATACAAATCTGTCAGATTTCTGTCCCCTTTCACATCCCTGATCATTAAGCCTGCTGTAATCACAACTGTGGGACTCATTAAATTCCTCTGCGCTGCTCGCTGGGAAGACAGACAGCCAATGCTGCTAAAGAGAGCGCTTTCTGAATCACTGGGCTCTGCTATTATTTCTCTCTAATAGCATAACAACACCACTATAAACAACTGACTCATATTCCTCTCAACAGCGACTGCCAAAATTATATCACAAAAGTATTAGCCTCGGAGAAAACACAACCAGTAAAATTGTGGGTCTTTACAAAGTCACAATTGCTTTAAACAAGTCTGACACAGTGTTTAGATCCTGGTCCCCTTCTCGGGCCAGAAGAGGAAGGCACTATTTGCACAGGTGATTTTCATTCTCTTCAAAGCCCTGACTAACTTATTGATAAATTAATTTTGAACCAGCCTTCAATCTGATATCAACACTTAGTGGTGAAGATGACATAATCATGTGACTGAATACAGTTGCTGTTGATTTTCACATATTGGAGATAAGCTACTTGCTCACTTTGATGGTATGCAAGTATGACCTGTCTCATGTTGAAATCTTTAAGGCAATCCTAATAAACACTCACCGGCCACTTTATTAGGTACACCTGTTCAACTGCTCGTTTACGCAGATATCTAATAGGCCAATCACATGGCAGCAACTCAATGCATTTAGGCTTGTAGATATGGTCAAGACGATCTGCTGAAGTTCAAACCGAGCATCAGAATGGGGACAGAATTAGTGACTTTGAACGTGGCGTGGTTGTTTGTGCCAGACGGGCTGGTCTGAGTATTTCAGAAACTGCTGATCTACTGGGATTTTCACACACAACCACCTCTAGGGTTTTACAGAGAATGGTCCGAAAAAGAGAAAATATCCAGTGAGCTGCAGTTCTCTGAGCGAAAATGCCTTGTTGATGCCAGAGGTCAGAGGAGGATGGCCAGACTGGTTTGAGCTGATAGAAAGGCAACAGTAACTCAAATAACCACTCGTTACAACTGAAGTATGCAGAAGAGCATCTCTGCTCCTCCTAACGCGGACTTTGTCGCTCTTTATACTACGTCACCGCACTTTCCCCTTTGCTCCTGTCATAATTACTACGACCACTAGATGTTGCCTAACAACAAAACGTAACTATGGGTCATAATTAAGTGCTGCACAAACGACCTGTCTGCTTGTTTTTCACAGGAGGGCAGTCTCTCTGTGCCATAGTGCACAGGGGAGATGTTGTCCAAAAGCTATTAAAACAACGTCATGAGCCACACTGTTGCACTGTGTGACACGTTCCTTCATTACCATGAACACGCACTGTAGTTTATTTTGAGTCACTCCCACACATGCTGCTACCGTTCCTGTTACTCATTAGCACTCCAGATCCGCTGCTGAAAATAGTCCCCATCCAATACCCCCGAACAACTTGTATTCCTGTTGGAGTGAGCGTTGATAATACAGTAACTACAGTGCCCGGGTGATTGAGGGAATTGCTTAGACTTTTTATTTTAATTTAATTGAAACTGTACATATGTGATGTGTGTTTCAAGATTTATGTCTTTAAATGGACTGCACTTATATTCTCTAGTCTTCTCTAGAGCGCTTTTTCTTACACATATACCGCTTCTCTACCATACACACACTCACACACTGATGATACATCGGGGGCAATTTGGGGTTCGGTATCTTGGCCAAGGACACTTAGAAATGCGAACTGGAGGAGCCAAGAATCGAACCACTGACCTTCCGATTAATGGAAAATCTGCTCTGCTCCCTTTAGACAGAACAAATATGGGGTAATATGGGTACTGAGAGACAAACTAATGCACTGTTGGGTTTGATCTTTTCTTTTTGTTAGCCTTATCCTTTAAAAATTATATAGCCACACAACTGAGCAGCCCTGTGATATTAGCATTTAAAAGTACAGCTACAACTGATCTGATGGAAAATGTGGTCATTTGTTTTAGAGAATCCTGTGATGAAGTGTGAAAAGAAATCTGGACGTGTTGGTGCTGCTAGATGTTAAAAAGTTAAAGGGTAACTGGGAAAATTGGGTAAAAAAAAAAAAAAGGGTAAATTGGTAATATTCATCCACACACAATTCCTGTACTAAATAGTAGTTGACGGACTGTATTTCAATCATGCCTTCCCAAAAGAGTTCACATACTCTCTGTGAGCTTTAAAAGTGTCAGTGCGCACATGGATTATGCAGTTCCCATCTTTCCACTTCTGCCCCTTTAGACGTTTACTGTCTTGGTTATAATATCCTCAGTTAGTGATTTTATCAAGCTCATAAAGATTAAGTAACAAACAAAGACATCATTACTCTGAGAGGCACTGCGAGTGTGCACCGTGGCGTGACAGAGGAAAGCTAATGTCTGAAGATGTAGAGGAAACAAGCAGCGACATGACAGATGAAGGCTGAAAGGATACTTTCCTGGAACTTCTACAGCCACCCTGTAGCTCTGGAAGCTCTTACTGGGGTGGAAGTTGAAGATAAAGAGCACATTTGCCCTGTCAAACACAATGACCTTGTCCTCTTCATGCTTGGCGCTGACAAAGGCCTGGAGGGGGAAAAGGGAGAGAAAAGAAAAGCTAATAAAATAGTTCTTCATGAATAGTCATTACCTTTCTCATCTTGGATTTAGAGAGTTATAATGGGCCACATTATATCAGTGGACTTCACATTTCCAAATAGACTGAGTAACATTCCCCCACATCAAATTTCAGGTGGCACTCATCAGCAGAAAGCAGCGGCCCAGGGTAGTGCAAGGCGCACGCTGTCAGCTTTAGACAGCTGCACATGATAAAGCCGCCACTCTCCTGTGGAGCGAGCTACTGTTAACGTGTCATTAGCAGAGATTATCAATGTCACCCAACCCCCTATTTTTAGTGCCTTGTTCCCCGAGCCAATTTCAGGGCAGCATATTCACGGCTGAACGAGAAGATAAGCACCCCTGCAACCGGACCGGCGGAGAGGACAGAGGGTAAGGAATGAGCTGACAGTCTGGAGTCTTTTACCGAGTCCATTTCTATGTGAGAAGTCCAAAAATTTGGAGCAATGCCAAGCTCCTCTTGCTGTTTTAGCGGCAGAAAACAAATACAACCTGCATCCATTAAGCTGGGACCCAATAAGCATATACAGTGAAAGATATTTCTTACTTATAAATAAATAAAGAAAGAAATTTAAATGCAATCAACAGACCTGGCGGTAATTATAAAATCTGATTATATTCAGAATCTGTTGATGTTTTGTTGGAAAAATCCAAATAATTATGTAATAACCTTCGAGTGTGCAGCAAGAAAAAGTAGCTCACCTGATGTGCACCGTCTTTCAGTTTGACTCTAGGTCTAAGAGCCTGTTAAATTTCTGTTTCTGTCACTGCCTGCAGCAGAATGCTGAACTGAAACAACAGCTCTGGGTGAAACTTAGCCAGGCAATGAGAGCAGGGTAAATCCCTACAGTAACCCTATTTGTGACCTAAACACTCTGAATGAAAATAGTTTTGTGAAACCACTGTTCAAATCCAATATTTTCCACGAACTGCGACCATCCCCTCTGCTCTTTTTTCCTTCACTGGGAACGTACGTTAAGTCAGCTGTAGATGCAGCTGCCACAGTTTGTGGAAAAATTGGATTTAAACATTTGGTTTTGCCCTGGGTGAACGTTTTATGTTTCCAGGGAGATAGGAGACATTGAAAATACATTTTGAAGATGTACCCCGCTGCTGGATTAGAGGTCAAAAATAATTTCTTGACTTTTCCCCTAAGGTTTTCTTGGGGAACACTGTGTGACCGAATTATAGCCTAATGCACAAAGGGCTCAAGTCACAGACAGCGTTAGGTACAGTAAATCCCAAGACCTCCATTGACCTCAATGTTCTAAGTGTATCCTAATGTGAACATAAAATCTTAATGTTGGGTTTCATAGACTGCTTTTACTACTATAGATAAAGATAGATTTAAAGGTCCCATATTGTATAAAGGTAGTTGTCCATGTCTTTTTTGATTATAAAGCAGGTTTAGGTTCTATATTAATACTGTGAAAGTATCAAAGTGCTCAGTCCACAGAGAAATGCACACAGTCTGTATTCAGAAACTGAGCTTTAAAACCAGCCGTCAGGACTTCTGTAACTTTGCGACATCAAAACAAAGGAGTAACCACTGTCAGCCATGCCCCAAGCCCCGCCCACCTGGACCCACCATCCGACCTTTTCTGAGTGTTTACCTGAAATCTGCAATGTGTTTATTTGATTACTCAGAAGACAGTCAGCCAATCAGGAGAGAGGGCTCAACGCTACTAGAGCTCCAGAGAGCGGAGCCTGAAGGAGGAGATGTAAAACTACATTGACATATGGGACCTTTACGTTATATTACGAAAAAATAAAAGCATCTTATGGGCAACTGTAATGGTTGGCGACATAGTGGTTAAGTAATGCGGGTCTAAGTAGAATACAGACTACACACTGAATGCCATAGTCCGCTCGCTAGTGTGTACTGATTTATTTCCATTCCATCACAGAGGAACACCTGAATTGATGCTATCTCTTCACTAAGAGGGGCCTCAGTTCATGTCCAGAGTTTGGCCTTTTGAAGCTCACAGCTGCACATCTTCAAAAGAGGTGGGCACAAATCACACTTTTAAGCAAAGTCTGCTTAGCTCACTTATACCTGGGACAACGAGGAGAGCTGCCGACAGATCCTCTCCTGCTCCTCATTTTAACTACAGAATGCCCTTGGATCTTACCACCACAGTGAAATATTGAACCGAGCTATAGAATATTCCCACTCAGCACGATTACCTTGGCAATGTCATTGATAAGCTGTACAGAGGATTCAGACTCATCTAGTTATTACAGCTGAATCTCTGAGCAGTTATTGGCGTTATCTGTGAGTAATGTTCTACAAAGTCTTTTTGTGATGTTGTATCAATCCCTGAACAATTTTTTTCTCTTTTTTTTTTTCTTTTTTGTCGCAGCTGCTTCCGAGGACAGAGAGCAGAAGTGCAGGGAAAGCTATAGAAACCCACCCCTGGAACTGGCTTATTACACATGTTGCTTCACTTCCTCAAGGTTTACATAATTACATTTCAAGTATCAAAGACAAAGAAATAATTTTTTGAAAAACCATTTGAAAACTGTTTTCAGTGATCTCGACATAAACACATTTTTGTAATATTGACAACAATCAGTCCAAACCTTTCTGATGATCACAGAATAAATATCTAGTAGCTTAATATTAAAAGGTTTTTTTTTTATGGTGTGTGATCAAAAACAAAATCTGTTATTCCACGATCACAGCAAAAGAAAACATGAGAGCTAATTACATGCACATCCTCTCCAGCCTTAAATAAGAGGTAGCTTCTGCCCTAATTGGATGTTGTGTTCAAGAGCACTCCAGCAGTGTAAACTCCAGCCATCAGATGTATCTGAAATAAGGCCCAATATTCAGATATTACCCTTGTGATGGATGGTCTTCCTGCTCCCTATACATTACAGCTGCCCAGAGCTTCACACGCAATTTAACTTAACGGAAATGACAACCTTTAGACTGCCTTTATATCATCTTACATTATATTTATAATATTATGAGGTTATGAATCAACCTCAAGAAAGAACACAATTCCATGATGTCTTCAGTATACATTGCAGGGCTGTCATCTACTATATGATCTCACATAAAAAGCCATTGAAACAACCAAGAAAAACAGCACCCAATGTGTAACGGGTCAGCTCCAGTGCCAAATGTATGCATCTTCCCTGCCAATAGCATCCTTTGGGATCAGCATTCCCTCCAATTCCGCCCAAAAGGGAGCAGAGAAAGCAGCCAGGCTCTGCCTCTGCTTTGCTTTACCTTCAAAGCTCCATTTCATCCAGTTGTAAAAGGTGTTAGAGGCTCCAGTAAGTCAGAGCACACGTCTGATTGATAGACCAATATGCAAAAATTATCCTTGTGAACCAGACATGTCTCTAATTGCGCTCTCTGATACATTTCCTACTCTGCTGCATTTGTCTGCCATTTGCTGAGGAGCAAAGCGCAGGTGAGAGCGCGAGGCACCAAGGTGAAGTCATTCTAATCAGAAGACTGATTCCTGGGGATGTGAGGGAGGATATTTTTGAATCAATTACACAGACTTACTCCTAATCCCTGTCAATTTAGCCACACTCTCCATTTGCATTATCCTATTACTTTGCTACCAGCTCCTCAAGAGAAAAACATCTTTTCTTTTCTCCCATAAGCTTCAATAGCAGGCAAAGAGAGAAGCTACAGGAGGAGAGTGAAATCTATTACTGTTCACCTTGACAGCAGCCAGAGAAACAAGACATTTCCAAAATGAACTCTCTTTATGGTGCATTTATCTGCTGCCTGGGTTCAGTACTAACATACCTACACTACTCCCAAATTTTGAAACTGTACCTGTAAAGATAGTGGCTTCAGAATACATTTATTCTTAAATAAAATCATCTTACATGAGCAAAATCACTTATGGACAATCAGCTAGGAAACAAGAAATGATTAAATATTCTGTATGTGACTAAAAATGGTGCTGTGACATTATATGTTCATGTGATTTTGTCATTGAGACTGTCTGCACAAAGCCTACTGTAAAGTGAGCATGTGATGTCCTTACAGGTGGGGCAGCCAGCCAGCCATACTTGTCTTCGGTACGGTTCATGTCCCGGTCAAAGGCGTAGAGCTGAAAGTAGCGGAGGTGATCCATATCCAGTAGGTTATACTGCCGGCGGGCATAGTGGTAACTCTGATTGTTCCCCACTCTGGGGAAATCCAGCCACTCAGGATGGCCAAACTCATTCCCTGCAACACAGAGAGTGTTATTAAAGAATGTATATTATGAAGGGAAAGGCACACAGTCTCTGTGAATTAGCATACTCTATCGTGTCGCTCTATATCAGGATATTTTCAGGTTTTGTGCAATTTTTAAGAAGACAAAAAAAGACGGAGATCAAAGAGACCAGAGTCAGCGACAGTCTGCAGCCCTTTTTATAACCCCAGCAGAGGTTAGTACTTTCCATATTAAAACACAGCCACAAAGCTCTTGCAACATTTTCACCTACAGTGTGCCAACCTTCCTGTCACAGAGGAACCTGTCCTTTCATGAGTAAAACTTTAAAAAGAGAAGCCAACACAAGTAAAAATACTGCAAATAAATCCCATAACTTTTATTTGAGTTTCACTTTTTCAACAAATATATGCAAAAAAAAAAAAAAAAAAAAAAAAAAAAGAGAGAAATCACCAGGATATATTTATATATTATTTTCCCATAAAAGAGAGCAAACTTCAAGTCATTGCTGGAAATGGGGAGAAACTGCAAAGGAGTATGTAAGTGTGACACAAAAAGAGGGAATCCTGGAAGAGATATCTCTTTATCACATTGTTGATTAACTCACTTTTGTCAAAACATCATCTGAATTTCTGAATTATTCAGCCACGTAACAACCATCACAACCAACATGCCTTTAATGTAACTACACCTTAACAAAAATCTCAGACTAGTATCATTGATGCAGACAGAGTTACACAGTCCAGATGTAAAGCCGAATGCAGCGAAGTGAAGTGAAAGTGTAGGAAACAACAATCCCGTTTCTACGATGGTGTCATGTCAGGAGATGAGATAATGAATCCGTCATCAGATGTCACGACAACATCATAAAACAACAGCCAGGATAATTGAATTCCCAGCAGGGGAAGAAACACACAGACAAGAGACAGAGGAAGATGCATGGCAACAGAATAGAGGCCAGTTGTTTATTTGGTGCAAAGAGATCCCACTTCCTTAAAAATAAAAAATAAAAACTCAGAGTGATGGGATGAAGTGGAACGGACAGAGAGTGACAGCAGATTCTAATGAAATACATTATGTAGGTGTTAAAGAAGTACCGAACAATAAGGCATGGACTGCCAGTACAACAAGCCCACTGCAGCACTTGCCTAGGAATTAGGGCAGCATAGACATGCAGTGAGAGAGAGAGAGAGAGAGAGAGAGAGAGAGACAGAGAGAGAGAGAGAGAGAGAGAGAGGAGAGAAAGAGAGCCTTTTCTTGTGACATCTGCATGAATAACAAGCCTCCCACACAGCTGAACTTGAAATGTAAAGGAGAGAATTCCACCTCAAACTTGCAACACAGGCAGTTACAGGCCGACTTTCTTCCCTGCACTCCACCAAGAGGAATCAGTACACCACACAGCACACATTCACTGCGCATCTGTACTTCCACTATTAATATTTCATGTGCAAATAATCTCACCCAGCACAGGACCTATACTGTATAGTTGCAGAATTTTGAAAAAAGTCAAACATTGTATAATGCATTGGTATGACTTTAATTGCTCTTTATGCAAAAGCAAATAGGTCAAAGTCCAAACTTAATTTTAATGCTGAGCAATCTTAAACATCAAACTCTAATCTAATTTTAGTCACTGGAAAACTAGTCTCGTGTCTGTGTTAGTAACTGCCGATGCTTTACACACATTCAAAATTCCGAGGTGTGATGTAATGACGGTGCCACAGTGTAGGTCAGAAGGTCAGCGAAATCGATAAGATTCTTGCTAATAGTAACATTTATTTTTGTTTTTGTGATATGTTGACCATTACATTTTTTGCACTTATTGCTGCGCTAGAGGGAAGGTCAAAGGATCGGCAAAATCATTAGGTTTCATCCTCATGGGAGAGTGAATCCACATTAAATTTTACACCAAGGTGGCTGTTTATTGTCAACATATGACGGTCACAAATCACAAGCAACGAATGAAAGATATCACATAAGCTCTTTGAGGTAGGAATACCACATGAAAAAGCATATTAGCATATCTTTAAGTAAGATCTGGTAAATACAGTATAGTGTACTGTATATATAAATGATGCTTGCGGTGCCTTTGGATCTATATGGTGTGATCGTCTTGATCCATTTCCGTTGCATAAGAAGATCAGTTGTTGTACTGAAGTTCTGCTTCATCCTCCATTCCTAGAAATAGCCACCCCGCATTTTTACAGACTGAAAATTGCCTGCACTGCATGTGCTCAGCAAGTCAGAATGAGTTTATCCAACCCTACTGGAGCTTGCGTGAGGGCAGCAACGACGCTACCTTTCATCTACTTTTCTTCCCTCTTCCCTGGGTTATGCTCACCAGTGTCACCTCAGTGCTGAGAATGCTGCCATGGGAATCAACCGCCAGCCTAGAGAGCATGGGTCACATGGCTTTGTCAACAGATGACAAGAAAACAGCAGTGCTATAACAGCCATACAACATATTCACCATGGATGAAGCTACAGCATATTGACAGTGATGCATACTGTAGTGTAATGTGGCCCTCTGCCCCTCCACAGACCCTTGCTGCTGTGTCATCCCTGGGCAGATGAAGACAACTCCGCACCTCATGGAAAGACTGAAGACAATGACTTCCTTTGCGTTCTCACACTGACATGCTGGTGAGTCAGGTGAGTAAGCTCGCTGAAACCTTCCCACTGTTTTGATGTGTGTGTCAACAACCATTAGCAGTAAGCTTCACCCTTGTGGCCGTCCTCTTTTTTTTTTTTTTTTTTTTACAAGGCACTTCCATACTAGTTTTCATCACCCCGGTGCCTAAAAAAAATCTTGTCTATATCTATGAGTGTGTGAAGGCGTTGTGGTAGGAGTCTCTTAAAGGTTAAAGCTCCCATCTTTGACAGAGCTGTTTTTTTTTTTTGTTTTTTTTTGCATCCTCCCCAGCAGGGCAAATGAGCAATTTCACCACGGATGTTACAGCCGCTGTGGGCTGTGTCATGGCCCCGGGCACAGGTGGCAGATGACATGTCTGGTAGGCATGACTGCCCTCAAGCAATGAAGTTCTCGTGAGTAATCTGCTGCCACTATGAGGACTGTCTAAAGTGTCAATCTCCCTGACTACCCGGTGTCTTCAGAGCCTCGGGGGGGGGGGACGATCCATTTCAAGCACCTTCCTGAGCTGTTCAAGTCACCCCCCCCCCCTCTGCTCCACATCCACATCCGCGTACTCTTCAACACACTTTGAACAAAACATATGGTGAATTCTTTTTATCATTAATGTTTATTAAACTGAAAGCCTTGTACTGGACAATACAATGTAATGTTAGATCTAAGCTAGCCCTGGACAATCGCTCCTGTGGACCCAAACTGGGAAATGTGGGAATGACTCAGTTTCCAGCAGCAATGAGATGGACAATCTGCAGGCTAGTGGTGCAACAGGCAGTGTGTGCTTTATAATGCATATCAGGAGTTTGGAGAGTTACTGTGTGACAGTTTTAAAATATTGAGAGACTATACCTTCTACATGTACATGACCTCTACAGTACAGCCAGAACCGGTGTGTCCCCCTTCCTGACTGATTTATAGTAGAATCCTCTACAGTCACTCATAATTTAATGCAGACTGTGGGATCTGGTTGTAGACTGACACTGTAAATAGCTGTTAGTCGACAAAAGTCAAGAGTGCTGCAGGAATGAGTCCTAAAACCCGGAGATTAGTTTGCATTTTAGCACTTCCGGTTCCCTTGTCCCGATGTCTGTGGGTTGTTGCTTAGATGACTGATATAAGGTCTGCGGTTAACTCAGCTCAAGGCATTTTCACGTCATCTTACAACACACAGTAAAATACATCAGTAAATACCCAGTTGTGATTCCTTTAACATTTTACTTTATAAGAGGAAAGGCTTTTTTTTGAAGAGGTAAGTGCTAAATGAAACTACGAGTTGGAAGATTAGTGATGGTGAGGCTGAAGTCGTGCAACCGTGGTGTAGTTGGTTTATAGTCGAACATTAGCTTTTAACCTCTTGCGATTGTATTTAGGCTTCAAACATCATGAAAGTGATGCTCATTTGTGAAGATCATCTTGCTGAATAAAACATGTGAGAATCATAAACTATTGTTTATCACAGAGCTTTTTTTCTGCAGTTATCCAAAAGGCAATGGAAAAATCCCATTGGCTTTTTGTCAAGGGAACTAGAGTGATGCTAACTTCCAGGTTGGCCTACAACCCTGCAGTACTCTTTGCTACCCTATATTACATGTACCTATACGGTTAAATATCTCATTGTGACTATAAGCACATAAATGAACAGTTCAGTGTAAAGAAATGGGGGGAAATGAGTAGTTAAGCCCAAAGAGGCTGATGTGAGGGCACCACTTGTAATCATAGAACTGGAGTTACAATAGAAAACTACATACTGTCTACATTCTCAACCCACTTGGGAAGGCAACTAAGGAACAAAGGATTGTGCTGAATGAAAGATGAATGAAATCAAAGACATGCTACAACTCGACAACCTTCCTTTTTTAATTTCACAAAGCCAGTCAGAGTCGTCTCTGGACTCGGGTAGCCTTCACATGTTATCAAGACATGTCAAGGGGGAGCAATGGCATAAAAGAATACTCTCAAATGCTGTGCTAGTGGCTCCTATCTTTAAGTAGCACCTAAGAGTGATTACCTCAGGGATCTCATACTCCAGGAGAAAAAAAAAAAAATCCACATTCAGATACTCTTTTTCTGTCAGACATCAATATGTGATGTTCAATGCATAATTTACTATTTTGGTGCATCAACTCTCAGGCGCGCTCGTCAACATCTACAGTACTTTTGAGCTCCTACATTTCCCAGAATGACTTTCGACACGCCCCAGGGTAATGAGCTGTCTTGAGTTGCACTGTATTGCATACAGTATGTGTAGGTGGTGGGAATGAGAGCAGCCACAAAAGCATTGTACATTTTTTTTTTTTTTTTCTGGTGAGGAAAAAGTGAGTAAGGGATCAGTGCAGCAGCATGTAATGCACAGTTCAGACTGAG